GGGCCCCGGGGCTCAGAAACGGAACCCAGCAACATTCCCTAGCGATCGTGGGCCGACGACATACCCAAGGAACACTCCTTCGAAACCTTGTCGTGCTAGGGGCCCGCAAGCCCCCGAGGGAGGGGGAGGAGGGGGAGGGGGAGGGGGAGGGGGAGGGGGGGGAGGAGGAGGAGGAGGAGGAGGAGGAGGAGGAGGAGGAGAGGAGGAGGAGGAGGGGAGGAGGAGGAGGGAGGAGGAGGAGGAGAGGAGGGAGGAGGAGGAGGAGGAGGAGGAGGAGGAGGAGGGAGGAGGAGGAGGGAAGGAATCCGCGATCGCTCGCTGCCGGGGGTGCTCTGAAGGGAGCGAAGGCCGCCGGCGGGCTCGCCGCCGTGCGCCACGGGGCCGCATCGCCGTCGTCGTCGTTGTCGCCGTCGCCGTCGTCGCCGTCGTCGTCGTCGCTGCCGTCGTCGTCGTCGCTGCCGTCGTCGTCGTCTCCGTCGCTGCCGCTCTCGCTGCGGTCGTCGTCGTCGTCGTCGTCGTCGTCGTCGTCGTCGCTGCCGTCTTTGCGTCGTCGTTGGAGGGCCAAACAAAGTGCTTGGCGCGAAGCGCCAACGCAATCTTGTGTGTATACCTTTCTTACATGTAGATGTACACGTACATCTTTCTGTGCGTACATGTGTCGAGAGAGCGACAGAGAGTGAGAGAGACACACTGATGTACATACATATATACAAGTGTGAAGAGAGGGGAAACATATATGCACACATCTAAATCTATTTGTGTATACATATCTTTATATTCACATTTGTTTATGCATCTGTAATCATATATATATAGAGAAATACAAGGGATATGCTATACATATTACTACAAACATATATATATATATATATATATATATATATAAAATTATTGACATAGAAAAGATATAACTATGCACATAATCATGAAACGGAAAGATAGATATACACATATCTATATATAACATATATCAACAACTTATATGTACATATACATGGAGAGAGAGAAAATGATACATATATATAGAGAGAGAGAGAGAGCGAGAGAGAGAGAGAGAGAAAGAGAGAGAGAGAGAGATAGAGAACGAGAGAGAGAGAGAGAGACAACGATAACGAATCATTCGCCTGACGAAGGACCCAACCATATGCAATTGCGAATACCGCATTGTGGGTAACGGTTTCGGTGGAGCTCCTTATGATGCCACGACACGCTGTCCTGGGTGGCGTTGGCGCATGCGGCCTGTGCCACTGGAGCCTTCGATGGACCTCCCTGTGGGGCTCCGAAGCGCTGTCATGGGTGGCGTTGACGCATGCGGCCTGTGCCACTGGAGCCTTCGGTGGAGCTCCCTGTGGGGCCACGGAACGTTGTCCTGGGTGGCGTTGACGCATGCGGCCTGTGCCACTTGAGCCATCGGTGGAGCTCCTTTTGGGGCCACAAAGCGCTGTCCTGGGTGGCGTTGACGCATGCGGCCTGTGTCACTGGAGCCTTCGGTGGGGCTCCCTATAGGGCCACGAAGCGCTGTCCTGGGTGTCGTTGACTCATGCGGCCTGTGCCACTTGAGCCTTCGGTGGAGCTCCCTATGGGGCCACGGAGCGCTGTCCTGGGTGGCGTTGACGCATGCGGCCTGTGCCACTGGAGCCTTCGGTGGAGCTCCCTGTGGCACAGGCCAGGACGCTGTCCTGGGTGGCGTTGGCGCATGCGGCCTGTGCCACTCGAGCCTTCAGTGGAGCTCCCTGTGGGGCCACGAAACGCTGTCCTGGGTGGCGTTGACGTATGCGGCCTGTGTCACGGGAGCCTTCGGTGGATCTCCTTATGATGCCACGACACGCTGTCCTGGGTGACGTTGGCGCATGCGGCCTGTGCCACTGGAGCCTTCGGTGGAGTTTCCTGTGGGGCCACGAAGCCCTGTCATGTGTGGCGTTGACGCATGCGGCCTGTGCCACTGGAGCCTTCGATGGACCTCCCTGTGGGGCCACGAAGCGCTGTCATGGGTGGCGTTGGCGCATGTGGCCTGTGCCATTGGAGCCTTCGGTGGGGCTCCCTATGGGGCCGCGAAACGCTGTCCGGGGTGGCGTTGACGCATGCGGCCTGTGCCACTGGAGCCTTCGGTTGAGTTTCCTGTGGGACCACGAAGCGCTGTCATGGGTGGCGTTGACGCATGTGGCCTGTGCCATTGGAGCATTCGGTGGAGCTCCCTATGGGGCCACGGAGCGCTGTCCTGGGCTGCGTTGACGCATGCGGCCTGTGCCACTGGAGCGTTCGGTGGAGCTCCCTATGGGGCCACGGAGCGCTGTCTTGGGTGGCGTTGACGCATGCGGGAAGCGCTGTCCTGGGTGGCGTTGACGCATGCGGCCCACTGGAACCTTCGGTGGGGCTCCCTATAGGGCCATAAAGCGCTGTCCTGGGTGTCGTTGACGCATGCGGCCTGTGCCACTTGAGCCTTCGGTTGAGTTCCCTATGGGGCCACGAAGCGCTGTACTGGGTGGGCGAAAAGCAGGGAGGTGACGAGGCGGATGGGAGGAGGCAGGGAGGGGGGAGGAGGAGGAGAGGAGAGGAGAGGATATGAGAGGATAGGAGAGGAGAGGAGAGATGATGCGGGGCGAGTCTCTTCAAAACTAGGACCCAACACCACAGGATGGTAGGGAAAAAGAAACAGATAGAGAGAGAGAGAGAGAGAGAGAGATAGAAAGGGATAGAAAGCGAGAGAGAGAGATAGAGAGAGCGAGAGAAAAGGACATGCTACGTCGGCAGGGGGCGTGGAGGATCAGGGGCGCAGGCGGCCGACGAGGGGCGTGATTTATTGAAGCACGCAGGCAGCAGAAAGAACAGGAGGCCCATCCGCAGCAACCACACCAGGAGGAGGAGGAGAAGGAGAAGGATGAAGATGATGAGGAGGAGGAGGAGAACGAGGACCAGTGTAAACCCAAGGGTCATCAATGATCTTGGAATGAACCCTTCCTCCATGCTCCATGTACAGAAACGCCTACAACGGTTCACTTCCACTGAAGAGACTGCTTCGTTGGAAGACAACTGTCTGAAGACCCTGAAACATGCCTAAACATAACTCTCGGGACTCCAACGCCACGGATCAACCTGACTGTTGCGCCTTGACGACCCTGAATACTGCCAGATTGCAATTCCTGGGACTTCAACACCGCGAATCAACGTAAGTGTGGCGTCCTCATAATCCTGGGTCTTTCCCAAACACCTGTCTTACGTTGATCATGGGAATCTGTGAAGCCCTTGCACATGCTTAAAACGAATGCGCACGGAGCTATGGCGAGAGCCACATTTTGAAAAGGAGCCGCCCTCAATCCGAGAAGCCTCTGTACGTTTTTATAACGAATGCGCGTGGCGCTCAAGCGAGAACCACTTTTTGAAAACCACCCGCCCTCAATCCGTGAAACTCTTGCAAACATTGAAAACGAACGTGCGCGGCGCTAAAGCGAGAGCCACGCTTTGAAAACCAGCCGCCCTCAATCCGTGAAGCTGTTGTCACATTTTAAGTTTCAGGGTCATAAGTGGTGAGGGCGTGTCAAACGACACGCCCAGCCCGACTTACAACAGGTCTCGGGGTGCGACAGGGAGAAATTACGTACAAGGAAAAAGAGTGAAGGAGGGGAAGGAGGAGGATGAAAACTGTCTCAAAAAACCTGTCTGACAAGCAAGAGGGGGAGGGGAGGAAGATGCAGCGGTGGAGAAGGGGGGGGGGGGGCGGAGGAGGAGGGAGCGAAGGAATGCCCCCCCGAGAGCCCGCCCACAGCAGGGGCGGGGAGAGACGGAGAGCGTTCCCCTCGGGGGCCCGCCTGCCCTGAAAGCGCGCGCGGCGCGCTGCCGGCGAGGAGGATCAGAGTAACCCCACGATGCGTCAATGGTGCTGCAAGGCGCCCACGCGCCGCAAGTTCCCTGCGCACAGGCCCCACGAGAAGTCCTCCTCGCTGCGGGAGGCGCCCCCCCTTGAGAGGCGGGCGCCTCGCGGTCTCGCGCACCTCGGGCGGGGGCCCCGTTCTCGAGCGGAGCTGCCAGCCGTGCTTCTGGCTCTGAGGCCGGCGCCGAGGCAAAATTCCAACGGGAAGCCCCGCTTTGTAAAAGAGCCGCCCTCAATCCGTGCACACCTGCTGCGCAGTTGCAGCTTCTTATGTTCATAAGCACAAAGGGTGAAGAAGCCTCAAGCGACTGTTATAGTGTGAAAGGCCCTCCATCCGTGTAACTGTTGAAACTTTTACTACGAATGTGCGCGGCGCTGGGGCGAGAACCACATCTTGAAAACCACTCCCCCCCATCCGTGTAGCTCTTGGAAACTTTGAGACGGATGTGCGCGGCGCTAGAGCGTGAATCACATTTTGAAAACCATCCCCCTCATCCGGCAACTGTTTGAAAAACTGTTGAATCGAATGTGCGAGGCACTAAGGCGCGAGCCGCATATGGACCCCCCCAACTTCATTCAGGAGCTTTTAAAACGAATCCGCGCGACGCTAAGGCGAAAACCATATTTTGGAAACGACCTACCTTCGTCTGTGCAACTGTTGGGTTATTCAAGGTCTGGGGTCCTAAGTGGGAAAAAAATCAGGCGACAGGACCGTAACACGTCTGGTGGTTCGATGAAGAGGAGTTGCCTTGAAGGAAGCGGGATGGAGGAAGGGGGGGAGGGGAGGAGAAACAACGAAGGGAATATAGAGTTTTGACCGAAGGAGGATGAGGACGAGGACGAGGACGAGGACGAAGACGAGGGCAAGGATGATGATGATGATGATGATGATGATGATGATGATGATGATGATGATGATGATGATGATGATGATGATGATGATGATGATGATGAGGATGATGATGCTGATTATGATGATGCTGCTGATGATGATGCTGATGATGATAATCATGATGAGGATCAGGATGAGGAGGAGAAGGAGAAGGAGGAGGAGGAGGAGGAGGAGGAGGAGGAGAAGGAGAGAGAGCAAGAGGAGGGAGGTTGGGATGAGCGCCCCTCCCCGCGCCGAGGCCTCCGAAGGGCCCTGCAGGATGGCGGTGTCCAGCCTCAGCTTCTGGCGCTGGCGCTCCTTGATCCCCGCGTTCACCGACAGGAAGGCGGCCTCGACAGGGGCTCGTCCCCGGCGCAGGCGCACCCCCAAACCGACCGAGCCCGACGGCGAAGCCGCACCCAGCTGGGAGCGGTCGAGTCCCAGACCCCCGACGTAATGATTTTTTCATGACGTCGACACCCCGAGGTCTCGACCCATTCCCCGGGACCGGTTTTTCGTCCTGAGTCGTTTTTTGACGGTCCCGAGGGCCGGTAAGGGCCCTCAGAGGCCAAGAATAGCGAAAAACCTCCCGTCGTGATTTTTTCATGACTCGAGGAGGTCTGGGGTGCAACCGAGCGCGAGGCGGCCAGACCGACAAGACCGCGACCCCGAGGCCCAGGGGCGGGCAACGAAGAGGGCGGCGCCCGCCGTGGCAGCGCCCCCGGGCGCTGCCAGAAGAGCCCCCCCGGCCCAACGGGGGCCCCCAGGCTTTCCGGGGGGCCCTCCACGGCCTCCCCAGACCTCCTCGCGTCGTGAAAAAATCACGACGGGAGGTTTTTCGCTATTTTCGGCCTCTAGGGGCCCTCGCCGGGCCTCGGGACCGTCAAAAAACGACTCAGGACGAAAAACCGGTCCCGGGGAATGGGTCGGGACCTCTGGGGGTCGCGCCATGAAAAAATCATGACGTCGGGGGTCTGGGTCCAGAGCACCCCCGCACGAGGCCCAGGGGCCCCCCCAGGGGCTGCACAGTGGACCGCAGGATTTCCGGGGAGGCCTCCGCGGCCTCCAGAGCGCCCCTCACGAGCTCCAACGGGCCCAGGGGCTCCACATGGGGAGCGCAGCGCTGGCATCGGCTACGCGCAAGGGTGACCCCGGGCAAGAGTGACCTTTAGTGCGCGGTTAAGGGGGCGCCAGGTGGCCTACGTAATCCAGGCGCGCGAGAGGCCACCGTCGCATCGCGCTCAGCGAGCGGGGGGACCCCGGTGAGCCCGCACCAGAGGTCACTCCGGCGAGGGGCCACCCTTACGTGCAGTCGCGCTGGGGGCACCCTGGGCCAGGGGTGCCTCCCCAGACCCCCGACGTCATGATTTTTTCATGACGCGACCCCCAGAGGTCCCGACCCATTCCCCGGGACCGGTTTTTCGTCCTGGCTCGTTTTTTGACGGTCCCGAGGCCCGGCGAGGGCCCCCGGAGGCCGAAAATAGCGAAAAACCTCCCGTCGTGTTTTTTTCACGACGCGAGGGGGTCTGGGCCTCTGGCAGCCCCCGAGCAGCAGGGCGGCGCCGGGGCGCCCGGCCTCGCGCGTCGTCGCGCCGAGCGGGGGCTGTCCCAGGCGCCGTCGCGCCGCCCTGCTGGAGAGGGGCAGCCCCCCGGCCCTGGCCGCGAGCGCGCGCGGCGCGGTGGTCTTCGCACCCCTGCGGGCGACCTGGGCAAGGCGGCATGCAGAGCTCGAGGCCCCCCGAAGGCATCCGCTGCGGGGCCTCGGGGTCCTCGTGACCCAGAGATCCAGCGTCGTGATTTTTTCAGTGCGCGGTCCCTGGAAGCCTCGACCCATTCCCCAGGACCAGTTTTTCATCCTGAGTCGTTTTTTGACGGCCCCGAGGCCCGGCGAGGGCCCCTAGGGGCCAGAATTTGCGAAAAACCGTCGTCGTGATTTTTTCAATGCGTTGGATCTCTGGGGAATGGGCTCGTCGCAAGAGCACGTAGTGCAGAGACAGAGCCGAGAGCTCCGTACACCCGGCGTCACGCTTCTTGAGCGACAGGGGAGTGCAGGGTCACTGCGTTCCACGCCCGGGCACCCTGTCGCTCGCCGCTTGCACTGCCCTGCGTCCAGAGGGCGCTCAAGCGGAAGGCCCAGATGCGCCAATCGAGCAAACAAAATGCCCAAATCCACCGGCAGAAGGAAGATAAAGGACCGGAGCTGCCAGCGGAACCAAAAAACTGGCTCGATGTCCGTGGACTGGGAGCCCAAACTCGGAGTTGTTGTTGTTGTTGCTGCTGCTGCTGTTGCTGCTGCTGCTGGCCCGCCTCCTATGAAAACCCTGGCACTGGTGAGAACGGAGTGTCCCCACGTGCTAGTAATTGTTGAACATTATTAATTCTAAAGAATAATTATTGTTGGGCCCCCTGGTGCGCGCCCCCCCCGCCGCGCCTAGGCCGCAGCCACGTTTTCATCATTTTCGTGAGGAAGCCTCAGGTAATTCGATGTGATCAAGATCCGGTTGTTTTGTTCCCCCCCGCTTTCCCTTGCAAAAAACACTATAAAATGAAAATTTCAAATTTCAAGAATCCCTTGCAAAAAAAAGGTAAAGTGGACATTCGCGCGCGCAAGACGAAATCCTTCCAAAAGCTTAGTGTTCGGAGCGATTTTAACATAAAAACATCAAAAAACCAATGGTTTTTCAACAAAAAAATGTCAAAATCTCATCCCGCGCGCTCTTGCGGATTCGTAGGAAACCCAACACTTTTTAAACATTTCTGTCAAACGGGCTTTTGCGAGCAACTTTTTCGAACTTCTGCGACAACGGTTGCGCACCTGCCAGGGCCATCATCCCTGTCAAATAATACCATGCGGGACACATTCGTTTTTTCTTCGCGCGCGCACGCCGAAATCTCCAAAAAACCATTGGGTTCTGTGGGTGTGTACCCCACGCCAGTGTAGTAGCCACGGTCGTCCGCACGCCACGAAGTGAAGTGTCCCAACGTCATAGGGCGGGAAGCTGGGTTTGGGTGGTCGCGAAGAGTCGTTTGGATATTTGGTAGAGCTTGTAATGCCCCCCCACGAAGTGGGGGTATTGCCTGGTGTCGTATGAAAACCCTGGCACTGGGGAGAACACCACGCGTTCGGGTAAAATGATTGTTGTTGTTGTTGTTGTTGTTGTTGTTGTTGTTGTTGTTAAAAGTAGTAAGTAAGTAAGTATATATATAATATATATATATATATATATATATATATATCTATATATAGATATATGTAAAAACCGTGGGCATCGACAGCGGTGCCAAGGGCAGCACTGAGCTGCCGTGGACTGCCCAGGTGGTGCAGCTTCAAGGAGCCAGACAGCCAGGAAACATGCACCAAGAGCCTGAAGGTCCCGAGGGGGAGGCCTGCAGACAGACAGAGTCCTGCCACTCGGAGGAGAACCCAGACCCCCGACGTAATGATTACTTAACAGCGAAGACTGATAGGTTTCTAATGGGGTCAAAAGAAAGCATCTGATGACTCCCCAGGGGGGTCTGGGCGGGAGCCGGACAGGCGAGGGCCGGGCTCGTTTTAAGCAAACAGTCGCACACTTCGTGCTCTTCGACCTCCCAAAACTCCATTCCCGGGCCACATTTTGGATGCCCGGAGCCAACTGTAAGCCACTTCGTGCTCTTCGACTTCCCAGAACTTCATTCCCGGGCCACATTTTGGATGCCCGGAGCCAACTGTAGGCCACTTCGTGCTCTTCGACTTCCCAGAACTTCACTCCCGGGCGACATTTTGGATGCCGGGAGCCAACTGTAGGCCACTTCGTGCTCTTGGACTTCCCAAAACACCATTCCCGGGCCACATTTTGAATGCCCGGAGCCAACTGTAGGCCACTTCGTGTTCTTCCATTTTCCAAAACTGCACTCCCGGGCCACATTTTGGATGCCCGGAGCCAACTGTATGCCACTTCGTGCTCTTCCACTTCCCAGACTTCCAAGACTCATCGTCTTCATCATCGTCGTCGTCCCCGTAGCCTTCTTGGCTACAGCCCTGCTTTCGAAGATTTCCTTTCAAAGGAACTGCGCAGCGCCTACTGCGCACCTTAATGCCAGGACATGCTAGCAGTGTCTTGTTTAGACCTCAATGCATGTATACAAAGATCTCATTTGGAGATACCGTTATCGAAAGCAATGTTTCTACTGCTGCTACCACTGCTCCCATCACTCCTACTCGTTCACTCCACACACTACAACTACTACTTCACTGTTACCACTACTACCATCACTGCTACTTCTACTGCTACTATTACTGTTACTATTACTGCTGCTGCTGCTGTTGCTGCTGCTAGTGTAGCTATTGCTACTGCAACTACTGGCAGTGCCACTGCGACTGCCGCTGATGTTGCCACTGCGACTGCCACTGCGAATCCGAATGCGACTGCGAGAACACCAGAATTCTACAACAGCACTCTTACATGAATACCACAGGCAATGTTTCCAGCTATGCTTCTACACATCGCTGTTAGGTTGCTTTGCCGGGATAACTTTTTCATTACGTCGACTCCAGAGTTCTCGACCCCTTCCCCAGGACGGGTTTGTCATCCTGAGTCGTTTTTTGACGCTCCCGAAGCCCGGTGAGGGCCCCCAGAGGCCGAAAATGGCGAAAAACCTCCCGTCATGATTTTTTCATTACTCGAGGGGGTCTGGGGAAGGAGGATCGGTGAGGACTTTCTGTGCGGATCGGTGTGCGCAGCGAGGAGCGGGCGCGCCGCCGAGCGCCGCGGCCAGAGCCCCACGGGGCGACCCTCGAGGCGCCCCATGGCGCAGCGGCCGAGGCCCGCGCAGCCGCACGCCGCACGCTGCACGCCGCACGGCCCTGCCCCGGCCAGAGGGGGGCAGGAAGCTCAAAGGGGCCCGCGAGGGCCCCAAGGCGGCCCAAGAGAGCCTCTCGAGGGCCCCGGGGGCGGCCCCGGGAGGGCCGAGGGCGGCCCCGAGGGGAGCCCCCCAAGGGGAGACGGCACGCGCGGCGTCAGAGGCGGCCCCGAGGGCCACGGGCCGCCCTGCCCGAGGGCCTCGCGCGGGCCGCCTCGAAGCGCAGGAGGCCGCACCTCACCCTCCCCGCTGGCAGCGGCTCACCGACGGCGGCGTTGCCCAACAGCCCTTCCGCTGAGGCCTACACCCTCGCTTAGAGTCCAGAGCATTCTACGCTGAGGTAGTTGACGCCACTCCAGGCATTTTGTTGAACAGTCGTCCATGTCCAGATATACGGAGGTTTTCCGAAGATAGGCTCCACAAGAGAACGCCCAGGGTCCAGTCCAGATTCTTGCTTGCTTTTCGTATACGAAATCAGGGAGTCCATGAAAGTTGCTGCTTTCTTCATG